CCCTTTAAGGGCTCCGGAGCCGGGAGGGGGGCAATAGAGTTTCCCTGGTGTTGGCCAGAGTGGCCACCAGGGAAACCTGGGAAGCCTTAGCCTCCCACTAGTTCGAATTAAGGGGCTACACACCCCTTAATTCGAACTAGCTAGTTCGAACTAGGCTTAATCCTCGTAAAATGAGGTTTACCTAGTTCGAACTAAGTGCTCCGTTAGTTCGAATTAAGTTCAAACTAACGGAGCGCTAGTGTAGCGCCTATGAAAGTTAGTTCGAACTAACATCCGTTAGTTTGAACTAACTTTGTAGTGTAGACATACCCAAATATAGTAGATATTAACATTAACAATGTAAATCATTAGAGGGCAATCTTGTACAAAAAAGCCATAATAGAATTGGAAAAAATCAGCTGTATAAATGTGTGTGAACTGGTAGTGCAGCTGGCAAATGGTTAGCCATTTGAATAACAGTGTCAAGCTACAATTGGAATTAGCTTGTTTCCTCTGTTACCCCGAAAACTAATTTATGGTGGGAGTCAACAGAGCTAGGAGGCAAAATATTTTGGCCTTGGAAAGGGTTCAGAGAAAGGCAACTAAAATGATTAAGGGTTTGGAACAGGTCCCATCTGAAGAGAGGCTAAAGAGACTAGGACTTTTCAGCTTAGAAAAGAGGAGACTGAGGGGGGATATGATAGAGGCATATAAAACACGAGTGGTGTAGGGAGGGTAAATAAAGAAAACTTCTTCATTAGTTCCCATAAAATAAGGACTAGAGGACACCAAATGAAATTAATGGCCAGCAGGTTTAACACTAATAAGAGAAAGTTCTTCTTCACACAGCACATAGTCAACCTGTGGAACTCCTTGCCACAGGAGGCTGTGAAGGCTAGAACTATAACAGAGTTTAAAGAGAAGTTAGATAAAGTCATGGAGGTTGAGTCCATGGAGTGCTATTAGTCAGGGGGTAGGAATGGTGTCCCTGGCCTCTGTTTGAGGAAGGCTGGAGATGGATGGCACAAGACAAATTGCTTGGTAATTGTCTGCGGTCCATCCCCTCCAGGGTACCTCGTGTTGGCCGCTGTCAGCAGACAGGCTACTGGGCTAGATGGACCTTTGGTCTGACCCAGTATGGCCGTTCTTATGTTCTAAGCTCAGGGTTGGGTGTCTTACTGGACCAACTTGATTTTCATGCAGACCTGCTCCTGGGTTCGCATGTGGTCTTTGGTGGACAAGCAGGCAGCTATCCTGCCCTAGACGGCCGCATTCCTGTGCCTAGTGCGGAGGTCGTGGATGTTGGAGGCCTCCCCCTAAACCTCAATGAGGTCCATGATCTCCGCACTAGACCAGGCGGGTGCCCGCCTCTTGCTGCCCCAGGCAGGCTCCTGGGAGCTGCCAGCCTGGTCCTGGGAAGAGGCAGAGGGCTGGGTGGCAGCTGGTGGCTGGCTCATACTGTGCCAGGTGCAGGGTCTGCTGGCTGGGTCCTGGCAGGCTTGCAACTGGCACGAGCACTGTAGCCAGACCGTGCCCCTTTAAGGGCTCTGGGGCCGGGAGAAGAGTTTACCTGGTTTGGCCCAGAGTAGCCACCAGGGCAACCTGGGAAGGGCTAGCCTCCAATTAGTTCGAATTAAGTGGCTACACAGTCCTTAATTCAAACTACTTAATTCAAAGTAAGCGTTAGTCCTTGTAGAATGAGGTTTACCTAGTTCGAATTAAGCGCTCGGCTAGTTCGATTTAAATTCGAACTAGCGGTTTATATGTGCAGCCCCTATGAAAGTTAATTCGAACAAACGGCTGTTAGTTTCAATTAACTTTGTAGTGTACACATACCCTTGCTGTCTCTCATACAGAGGCAGCAAGGGGGTGGGGAAGCAAATAGTCAAGTATTCAACTAACTACCCAATAAGCTTAGCCTTAAATACATGCATATATACATACACAAAGAATATAGTATATACATTATGGGCAAAAAAAGTATTGTGTTTTCACACATCTGATCAAAGGAAATGTAAAGACAATCAAATGCTACAGAATGAAATACTGTTTTCTTTCTTTCTTTCTTTCTTTCTTTCTTTCTTTCTTTCTTTCTTTCTTTCTTTCTTTCTTTCTTTCTTTCAAGTCAGAAAGAACAACAATTTAGCATCATAATTGGAACTGTGACCGTCTGATGATTACTAAATGATATTGTATTGTTACTGCAGATCAACCTTCAAAGGAAGATGAGAGTCACAGGAGTTATAACCCAAGGTGCCAAGAGGATTGGAAGCCCAGAATATATAAAATCTTACAAAATTGCATACAGTAATGATGGGAAATCATGGGTGGCATACAAAGTAAAAGGCACCAATGAAGATATGGTAAGACTGGGTCACCTTTGTGCCAATGAAAATCCCGAGGTATATCTGACTTCTGAAAGCAAAAAGTGTCTCCAGTAGATGAGTATCATTATCTAACAGAGAAAGCACTTAAATGTGTGTTGCCTTATTATTTTTTTTTCTGGAAAACATAGAAATATGTTTCCACATTATGTCATCTATGAATTTCTTCTTATTTAATTGATGGCTCTATAAACACTGTGTCCCCAGGCTAAAATAATCCATTTTATTACACTTAACTGATTTTCATTTTAATTAGTTTACCAGTAATTACTCATGACTCTTTTTAATTTAGTTTCAGTATACTGGCAGATTAATATTAACCCTTGAAAGCATAGAACCCATTCATCAATGTTAATCTCTGCATGCAAAACCAGTATTATCCTGTAAACCGTCCCTCCCCCTCCCCCCCCCCACACACACATTTACAAAATATAGTTAGAATTTGTTTTTTATACAGAGCAGCACAGAATACTTTACTGTGAGAGGTAGAATAGAACTAAAGCACTTTAGTGTGGGACACATTTAGAGGTAATGCCATGTTGAAAAGACTGTAATGAAACAAGGAAGCAAAGTGTAAGAATATATAATTACAACAAAAAGAGAATAGAAAAATCCTTTTGGGGCTGATTTGAATCCCATTTCAGTCAATGTAATGTCTCCAGCTGACTTCAATGGAGTTTGAATCAGTTCTTAAATAAGGGAGAGAGAAGTAAGTGTGGATCAGTGTTTATAATTGCAGCCTAAAATGAACAGGGACATTTTAATACACAAGTTGAAGGGAAGATGTGATTTTTAGTGTATTAGTAGCTGGAGCATGGCAGCGGGGAGGGGGAAGACTTGAGGCCTCAATTCAGCAAGATACTTAAATGCTCGCCTTACTTTAAGCACGTGTAGTCCTACTAAAATCAATAAAGAGTAGTACCCACATGTTTCACATTATACCTAGATACCATGCTGAATTAGACCAGATTGAGTAGCATAAGTCACGGAACAGCCTCTAAATGTGGAAAGTCATGAAAAAAGACAAACAGGAAGTGAAGAATAAAAAAGGAGGTGTGTGCACATATATAATCCGGAAAGATAAGTAAAGACCTAGTTGTCATCCTTGTACTGTTTGAAATGTATGATTTTTTTCACAGGTGTTCCATGGAAATGAGGACAACAACACTCCGTATGCCAATTCTTTCACACCTCCAATAAAATCACAGTACATCCGATTGTATCCTCAGGTTTGCAGAAGACACTGTACTTTGAGAATGGAACTTCTTGGCTGTGAATTATCAGGTGAGTTTTCCAACACCACAAAATTGTCACAGCATAAATCCTCTTTGTTCCTGTGGTTTAGAATATTAATTCCTGGCAGAATTCCATTGACATAAGTGGTGTACAGCACAGTTGAATTTGTTTCTTTGTATTTAAAGTACATGAACAAGAGGGCATATATTTTTGCACTTATTCATATCTAATTATTTGCTTCTTGAAATGGATACAGAAGGCTGAAGAATTTAATGCCTATTTTGCTTCAGTCATCACTTAATAGGTATATCATGTCCAGATTCTTAACACAACTAATAATAAACACAGGAATGGAATACAAGTCAAAATAAAGAAAGAACAGGTAAAAGAATAGTTAACTATGTCACATGTATTCAAGTCAGCAGAATCTGATTACATTAATTCTAGGGTGCTTAAGGAAATATCTGATACATTTTCTGAACTGCTAGCAATTATCTTTGAGAACTCATGGAGGAAGGATGAGATCTCAAAGGATTGGAGAATGGCAAGCATAATACCTATGAACAAAAAGGATTATAGACCAGTAAGTCTATTTTCAATAGTTGGAGCAAATTGGTAATAATGCTAAAAAGGAATTGGGGGGCTATAATAGATCACATGTGGAATTAGTAAATAATGTGATGCAGTTGTGAAAAAGACTAATATCATTTTGGGGTATGTAAGATATGGGAGATAATTATCCTGCTCTGCTTGCATGGTGTAATTGGGGTTTTGTGTCAAGATCTGGTAACCACACTTTAGGAAACATAAGGACAAGTTGGAGTGAATCTAGAAGACAGGATTGGAAATTATAAAAGGTTTAAAAATCTAACCAGTGTAGAAAGGTTAAAACAGCTGCATATGTTTAGCCTTGAGAGAAAAAAAACTGAACAGGAACCAGGTAATCTTCAAATATGATAAGGGCTGCTATACAAAGGATAGTGATCACTTGTTCTCCATGTCTCCTGAAGGTAAAACAAAAAATAGTCAGCTTAATATGCAACAGGAGCGATTTGGATAACCTATTAAGCAAAGGATTCTAATTATGAGAATATTTTAGCACTGGAACAGTCTTCCAAGTTAGGTTGTGGAATCACCATCATTGGAGATTTTTAAGAACAGTTAAGTATGTTCTAAGTATATTTGGTCTTGCCTCTGTGCAGGGGGCTGGACTTGATGACCAGAAGTCCCATCCAGCACTTCATTTACATGTTCTGTAATGTATTTATAGTAGCACCTAAAAGTACCAACCAAAATTGTGCTAGGCATAATACAAACATATACTGAGGGGCAGGCTGTGCCACCAACTCACAACTTATAGCCTGAATGCACCAACCAGACAAAGGATAGGAGGGACAACAGATCCAGAAGTCAAATGACTTATCGAGTGTTACACAGCAGGTCAATGACAGAGGTGAGAGTTGACCACAGATCTCCCAGTCCTGCTTCCCTGTTAAGTGCCCTCTGTACTAGACTATGCTGGTCAGGCATTCTATAACAGCCTTGAAATTGCAAGAGTTCTGTAAGATGAAGCTGAAGAACTTTCAAAGCAAAATAAAATACATGGTGCTTGGTTGCTTTTGATGAAGTTTGATTTGATTTAGATTTGTTCTGTGGCTTTCCTATAGAAACAGATTGTGGCTTGGAGTAGAAGGAAATGAACTAGTGAGCCAATATAAACCTTCTCAAACTTTGTTGTAGCAAAGGTTATAGCACATAAATGTAAAGCTTGACCCCCATCTACTCTCTGCAAGAACTATATTCGCTCTACAAATTCAGTAAAACATGCAAATTCTTTATCTGTCAAAAGAGATCAGCTTTTCACCAGAGGGACTGCTACAGTAAATTCATTTTAGGGTGGTTTTTACCTGGCTACCTGTTTTATTTTATAAAACAATAGCCATCAATTTCCTGAATTATATAGCAAAGCAGTCTGAGTTAAATAATTCTTGGTCCTTCAGTGACATCAAAACCAGATTCAGAAATTAAAAGTTAATGCATTAATCTTGCAGTAGCCCTTTTTCGATAGAGATAGATTTGAAAGTAAATAGAAAATCCTGTCTGAGGTACTTTAGTGTATTAGATTTTTCTTTTTATGCTTTCCATTTCTGGAACCACAATTTAGAATAAGTCCTTGCCAGAATGACCAGGAATTGTTTTGCTCAAAGAACTGTGAAAGCTACTAAAGTAAATTCATTTCAGTGGTCTCATCTCAGTGTCAAGGTCACCATTCCTCAGCACTGTTGTCATAGTCTGGGCTCATCAGAGGAACTTCAGCTTCAGTTAAAAGCCAAGTAAAATTACACATAAAGACAAACTAATGCAGTCTAATGCCAGGTCGTTTCTTAGGTTGTGATGCACTCTTAGGAGTATAGGAGTTTCAAAACCGATCTCCCCTTTTTATTTTAATGAAATCTTTCTAATTAAAGAAACCAGACCTTTCCTAGGTCCCCATTCAACAACGTACTTAGGTGTGTAGCTGACTTTAAGCACAGTAGTCTTATCTAAGCAGGGCCGTAAATGCATTTTATATGTCAACAAGCACCTTTTATTCCTGTGTAACCAGCCAACTATAAAATGAACATTTATTTCTTTCCTTGACTTTTATTTCCCTGCAACCCTCTGCATTTAGAGCCAAATTCTGCCTCCTCGCTCATGCTGAGAAGCAGCGTATTCAGAAAGCGGTTGTCTTAGTATTCTTTTGCCCATCTGCAGAGTAGAACACTACTTGTTGTGAAGAAAGGAAGGAGACACTGCCCTTTTATGAGACTATGGCCACATGCTGAGATTTACAGAACACCTGCTTGATTTCTGAAATGGGTTGATTGAAAGTGAGAATTTATAGGCAAGATGTGTATTTCCATATTATCATGCAGTCTGTTATTTTTCATAAGCAAAGTTTTAAAATCTATTTTTATTCCCCAGGACATTCATACAGCAACCAAGATGATGAAGCATAGTCTTTGAATTAAAATAATTGGCTTCCTCTGCTCTTACCACTCCATCACAAACTCTAGCGGCATAAGGCAAGACAAAAACATAATAGAGCACAAGCCTAGGGGATGGGAACTCTTGCAAGCAAATATCTAGCTTTGACACTGATTATTTCTGAGCTTGTGCACAATTATATGAAATTCTGAGTGTCTCCTAGGAGGTAAGCACTCTCGAAATCAGTGGGAGTTCAAGGTACTCAGTCTTGTGGAAGACAGAGCAAACTTATAGACAAGATATTGTACCCGAAGGCCGCAGGAAGCATGCCTGTGACCAAGTATGGATTATCCCAAACTCAAGACTCTAAGCTACCTTCCTTGTAAGTGCTTATTCCTCAACCCTCCACATCTTCTGGTTACTTGGCAAAGACCAGTATTCTCTCCAGGTATTCATATGCTCGCTCTCCTTCCATGTGGACCATAGGGTCTTCACTCCTGCCTTACATCTTTGATGTCTGCTGCTGCCATCTTGGTTTCTTGCGTAACCCCTCTGCCAGATAGCACTGGCAGCAGCCAGGGCCGGGTTCAATATCTAGGGATTCCTTTTCATCTATCCCACACAGAATTGGCTCAGACTCCCGCCCAGTAGCCTGGGAAATCCACACAACCCCCTGAGTACATCTGAGAGGCAATGCTTCCCCATTGGCAAGCACAGAGTCTGAGTGTAGAAAAGAAACTTATAATAAAAGAGAGAGAAGTAACGTAGCATTAACTTGGGAAAATACCACAGAGTTCATAACCAACCCACGAGTGAACCTACTAGCTCAAGCGGATTGAGCAATGTCCTTTGCCTCTTAGCCTCACAAGTCCAGCAATGTAAGTGTCCCATTCACATGCCCAACCTTTCTCCGTACCCCACTCACAGTTGTTGCCCTTGATCAGGGCAGACCAGAGCTCCAAGGCGATTTTCAGATTTCACCTCCCACCCTTGGGGGAGTGGGGATAGGGAGCATCTCACCCACTCCATTGGCCACTCCCCACTGCTCCTATAGGCTGCCTGCCAGCCGCTCCTGCCAGCCACCTGCTAGCTGCTCCCACAAGTCACCTTCTGGCTGCTTCCTCCTGCCAGCTGCCCTGGTGGCTGCCTGCTGCTGCTCCTACCAGCTGCCCACCAGCCCCTCCCACCAGCCGCCTGCTGGCCACTTTCACCAGCTGCCAGCCGCCCTGCTGGCTGCCCACCAGCCACTCCTGCCAGCCGCCTGCTGGCTTCTTGCTCCTGCCAGCTGCCCCACTGTCCACCTGTTGCTGCTTTCACAATGCGTCTGGCTCTGGGCCAAACCTAGTGATTTCAGCTCTTTGCCAGTTTCTCTGTGATTTCAGCTTTTGGCCTGCTACCTAGGCTGGGCAAAAGATTCCAGCTCCCACTGGAATAATATTTCAAAATAATAAAGAGACTCCTTATGGAGTCTGTTGAAGTCTATCCTTAGAAAAGGAGGGGCGAGGGATGAAATAGGTTGACCAGTCTTATAGCTCATGCCTGGACTGCATGTAGCTGGCTGATTCAAGCTCCTTCCTCCCCAAATCCAGTCCACTTGAGTCTGGAAGTGGGAGGCTTGTCCATCCGAGACTCTTTACAATGACAGTGTCTCTCCTGCAAGCACTGGTGGTCATATATTACAATTCCTACATTTAGGGTTAACAGAGTTTGTGACCCCACAACAGCAAATTAGTTACAATACACCACATTCCATTCTAACAATTGACCATCCATCAGGCCTATAGCTCTGACTGAACTGGATTTACATAACCATACCCCAGATTCCTTTCCCATTCCAGCATGAGCTGTATTTACATATCAACAGTTAAATACCTTGCCGGGCAGCTGGATGCATTGGAAGCAGTGGTTCAGACCCTGCTTACCCGTGCCTTATCATTCTGAGAACTTTCACTTCTAGTGTGCATTTCTGTATTTACCTTAGCCTACCACATTGCACTTTATCCCAGGGATTCCTGTCCATCACTTCTCTTGTCACTTTAGTCAGGTCTTTCTTCCACATATGTCATAGCCATACTATTTCT